TGCATTGAGTGTGTAGTGAGAGGACGTCACTACTGACTGCGAAGTGAGGGAGGTAGCTTAATGAAGTCACTTTTGGATTTGTCATCGAGGTCGCCGTTGTGAACACGGCAAGCCGTCGGTTACGAACACCGGCGCAAGACAACAACAACCCACAACTTCGGCGTCCATGATGCCATACGGTGAGCATATTATGTAAATTTATATCGTCAACATGAGCTCGAAGGCGTCAGTGATAGTCCGTTGGAAACTCTGAGCTCAACCAAGATCGCCATTTGAGTCAAGACCCTCGCACAGGAGCAATATCGATGCGTGCAACGCCTTCACCACCACGACGACATTGCGACGAGTCCATTGGACGACGGACATAGTGGCCATGACCGACGGCTGATGGTGCAATCAACATATGCCGAGTTTTTAGCAAGTTAGAAGAACCAACACGTCATGCGAATCGAGGTCCTTCTCGGAGTAGATTTTAATGATGGGATGCGCAACTCGCAGTACCCCACAACGCCATTGCAACGGTGGTGTGCACGTGTGACTTTGGAGTGGTGGGGTCGATGGGACAAGCAGCCCTATAGCCAAGTAAACCTCACATCTTTTGGACAAAGCTAGCATGCGTGGGGGGCTTTGATGTTGAACCAGTGCTTGGGCTTCCCTGCAGCGGACGACAGTCAGTGCAGGCTATGGTCAGCAGCAGCCCACGAGGGCGACATCGTCACAACTGCTGGACAAAATGGTTTGAGCGCGAGGTGTTGGTGCAGTCCTTAAAAAAGCGTCCCCCACATTGTGGCGTGTGACGGGATATCAAGGAACACTTAATCGTGGGAGGCACCTCCGTAGTGAAGCTGGTTGGGCGTCCTGCGAAGCAAGTGGCGCTCCTCTTGCCCGATTTCAATGAAGCAAAAGGCTCTCGTCGTCTCACATTGACCCTGTCTGGCCGCGAAGTTGGCCATGCCCTTGGTGTACCTCGCCGCATGGGCATGGCAAAATCAGCCTATCGTCGTACGATGGTGACAAGAAAGGCAGGATGATCGAGCCAGGTTGTCGATGAGAAGCATTTCCCGACCCACCAGGCGAGTTTTCGGATGTTAGACACAACAAACGTGCCTTAACTACAGTGGAGGAAAGAAGTATAGGACATTTCGGTTTTCCAAAGCCACACATTCAAAAGGTCGTGCAATTGGATGGCATTGATATCTCAGTTCCATCTCGTTGAGTGAGATCATTCTGAATTTTCCGTGCTTGATTTCACACAATACATCAAGAGATATTTTATTTGAAACGGTAACCGGGCATGACAGGGTGGAAAAAGTATAGGACAAATGGACAAAATGGAAAAGTATGTAATATCAAGAACTAAAAATGCACTCAGTACTTGGTCTTGGATCCATGTAGCTTGATTACATCAATGCAGCGCCTTGGCATCGACGACAGCAGCTTCTCCAGCGTGCTTTCCTGGATTCGGGACCACTCAGTCTGAATCAGCTCGCCCTTCGACTTGAATTGACGTCCATTCCCATACACAGCTCGCGCGAGGATACCCCAAAGATTCTCGATGGGATTCAAGGCGTGGGAACGGGAGGGCCAGTCCATCACAGGAACATCATTGCTCTACAAAATGCCATGGTGTCTTTGGAGCGATGAATTGACGCCTTATCTTGCTGAAAAATGCAGTCGCGGCCAAACCAATGGTCAATCTCGGGGGTGTAGACTCTTGACGGCCCTCTAAAATAACAAGCTCAGTCTTCCCACCGGCTTGACGTCGAGAAAAGATCTCCTTTTCTTTTCTCAAGTCATGCCAGTAATATTGGAAACTGTCTGGGCCGTCCAAATTGAACCTTTTTTCGTCAGAAAAGACGCTTTTCGCCCATGCAGCTTCAGGCAACACGACCATTGACTCCGCCCAGCGTATGCGATCTTGCTTGTGCTGTTTCGTCAGGAGTGGGGTGCCACGACGCTTCGTAAATTGTAACAATGGGTTGTCTTGTAGGTACATACGAATGCACCGACCGAGGGTCGCAGGCAATTCGAGCTGGCATGCGAGCTCTCGCGAGCAGTATTTTCCAGTTAAGGTAGCACGGTTCATGCGACGGAGGTGGTTGGGAGTTAGTTTGCTTGGTCTCCTGGGCGCTTGGTCTTTCCGTAGGCATTTGGGTCCTTGAGGAGGTTTGTTATGACGTTTCGTAACCTTCCAGTCAACTGGTGGATCTCAGTTACTCGTTTGCCTTGAGATGCAAAGTATAGTATGGTGAGCTTGTCTTCCTCGTCGAGATGAGTTCCACGCGGCATGGTTGACGGAACGGCGTGGAGTTTACGTCGAGTATTATCTTTAGGCTTGTGTGTGGTGCGAGTTTCGCACTGTTTTGCGACTCGTATAGGTGAATGTCCTATACTTTCTTCCACTTGGTACTGTCGGTAATTTCAACAATGACGCGGAACCCGCGCGCGCCTACTTGGTTTTCAAAGCGGAAACTTGCATTTGATTCGTAAATTGTTTTCTTATTTGTCAGCCGATTTTCGCGATCATTCAGCCAATCATGGCGGAAAAACACAAACAAATCGTGATGCCCTAAACTTTTTTCCACCACTGTATCACCCACATGATCACATAGATACAGAGAACTACATGTGAACTGGTGCACAGTGGTACTGTTTGCTATATTAAAGTTTGTATGCTCTTCTGCCCGAGTGGGACAAAAATATATTAAATCTCATCATTTCAACATGAGTCTACATGAGGCTACGCTTGGTGATTGGTCGGATTTTAGCCACTCATCAGTTC